CGACCAGTACCGCTGCTCCCTGGGCCTCCACCGGAGTGCGTTCTAGCCGGAATCTCGGGGCGAAGCCAGCGGCGACGACGAGGGCATCCTGGCAGGCTCAGAAATAAGGGGCAAACAAACCTACCTCGCTTTTGACCACCCTCGCTTCCAAGAGATACCAAGCGATGCCAAACTACGGCCTGTACTGGTCAGGCCGCTTGACGAGGAGGCGCGTGGTATGACTTGGTTTTGCCTGGAAGCGAAAGCGGGGTAGGTAATTCACGCTCGGAAGAAAGGCAAAGACACATTGCAACGGTGGCGGTATCGGTACCTTTTCCTTCTTTGAGTTCGGGGAGCCGAACCTCAGGACACAGGAGCGAGCGCGCGGCGACGGCGCGTGAGCAGCATCTCGCCACGCCGCGCGCGGTGCACCGCGAGCCGCTCGCGGCGCGCAGAGTTCTCCTCGGCATCGGCGGCCGCAGTCCCGATTGATGAGAGGAGGCATGCCGACTTCGGGGTTGCAGCAGCGCGCGCACTGCAGGCAAACTCTGCCTGCCTTCCGTGAGGTCGCTGCCAGCAGAACATATACTTGCCTTCAGTGAGACCACTGCCGCCATGCCGTTTGAAGCATGCCATCGCGCACACTTGGCTACGCGGGCAGAGGACGCGGCTGGAAGCCTGAAGCTTGAAGCGGGGGGAAGCGTGCACGAGCTCGAAGTGAGGATAAGAGCTGGGCGAGGAGGGGGAAGCGGGGGGGCGACGAGGATCAGGCGACGAACGCCTGAACGAGCGGGGTCGACGAGGAGGAGATCTGTGGGAGCACGGCCGCGGGGACGACGGGGACGACGAGGATCATGGGGAGAATGACGACGAGGCTGACGAGATCGAGAAAATCGGTGGGAGGCGACGGGGTCATGACCATACGCATTTCACGCACAGGAGATCGGGGAGGAGGTTGTGGAGCAGGGTTGGAGAAAGGGAGACACTGCTTGCGTGGGCGGCAATGCTTCCCACACCGTCATGGGGAAGAAGCTGAAGTTGCCCTTGTACTTCTTGTAGGAGGGCCTCAGCACGCTGCCTTCGCCAATGATAACAAACTTGCCTCCGGGAAGCGGGGCATGGCCAGACCCCCGAAAGCCCAACCCGGCCCCCTCCTCCTGCTACAGCTCCTCATGCTGGCCGTCCTACCCAGCGGCGCGCACAACTCGCCCGGCCTTCGCTGCCGCCCTGGTCTCGTTGATATGGGCAAACCGATCCGCCGCACGAGGACACGAGGAGCCCGCGGCGAAGGAGGGGATGCAGGGCGAAGAGGGGGGCAGAGGGAGACGGCCTCAGCGTAACTGCCCGGCTTCCTCTGGCTCCGGCGGAGGTGGGGAGGCGAGAGGAACCAGGGGGAGAGAGGAGGTCTACCAAACGGTGAGCCCGCTGGGAGGAGGAGGAAGAGGAGTGGGAGGATGGCGGGGCAGGGGGAGGAGGAGGAGGAGGAGGAGGAGGAGGAGGAGGAGGAGGAGGAGGAGGAGGAGGAGGAGGAGGAGGAGGAGGAGGAGGAGGAGGAGGGGGAGGGGGAGGAGGAGGAGGAGAAGGAGGAGGAGGAGGAGAAGAAGGAGGAAGAGAAGGGTCACTGCCCATAGAGAGGCGCGGGGAGAGGAAGCCATGGCAATGAGCAGGAGTCGGACTCTTCCTCTTCCTCGTTCTCCCAATCCTCCTTTCCTCTCCTTTCCTTTCCTTTCCTCTCCCTGCCCCTCCATACCCCTCCTTACCCCTCCTCTTCCTCCTCCTTCTCCTTTTTTCCTTGTAAATGACTTCTCCCTGTCGCACCCTGAGGCCAATCTTTAGGGCGGGCCTGGCGTTTCGCCTGAGACTTCCTCACCATGTATGACTCTAAAGCTTAAAAAGTGACAACATTATCACAGATGGAGGGGAGGTGGTTTTCAAAATGTGGCTCTCGCCTAAGCGCCGCGCACATTCGATTTAAACATCCGCAAGAGGTGTAAAAGTTTGCAAGAGATGTGGCTCTCGCCTCAGTGCCGCGCTTTTTCGCATGAGCAAATTGCAGGGGGTTCACGGATTGAGGGCGGTTCCTTTTCAACATGTGGCTCTCGCCTCAGCGCCGCGCATATTTGTTAATTGCAAGCGTTTCACTGCTCCCCATGATCAACGTACCAGACATGATCTTTAGGAAAGATTCGGGATTATGCGGGAGCAACAGTTATGCTGATTCGCGGCGTTGAAATCCCACAAATGGCTTTATGGCACGATTCCGGATCGTCAAGACGCAGCAGTCAGATTGATCCGTGGCGTTGAAATCCCGAGAACAATGTTTTGGTATGCTTTAGAATATTCAAACGGTTCTCTTCCAACGAGGTAGTTCCCTCAATGAAAATGAACCGTTGTAGGGGGCTATGAAAAGGGAGCTTGGAGGGAGGGTTACTTCCAACATCGTTGATGACTCGTGGTCCTCCTCATCCTCATCCTCTTCATCCTTCTCCCTCCTCCCTCTTAACCCCTCCGGCCTCCTCCTTCTTACTTCACTTCCTCCTTACCCAACGTTTTCCTCCTTCTCCTCCTCCTCCTCCTCCTCCATCTCAACCTCCTCTTCGTCTTCCTCCTCCTCCTCCTCCTCCTCCTCGCCCCTCTGGCTCCTTCTCTCCCCCTCTGGCGCGCTGGCCGGCGTGGCCTATGCGCAGGAGCTGGAGGTCGCCGCGGAGCACCTCGGCGGCGACACGGGAGGGGGTGGCCACTCGAGCGAGGCGCCCCGCTCGGCGTCGGCACCACTCGTCGGCGCCGAAAACGACCCGATTGTCCCCTCCCCGTCCGCGTAGAGGAACAAGCAACTGCATAAACAGAATTCCTTTTGAAATCCGCGCACATTTCTTGGATCCGAACTGGACATCCCTCGCGCGCGGAGCGCGCCAGCGACGGCGCCGCCAGGCGCCGCCAAGGAGACCCAGAGCCGACCCCACAAATCGGCGCGGAGCTCCGAGAACTCCTGCCTGCGGTCGGCAACCTCTGCTCAGCGTGTCGTTGCGGCGGCGGCCCCGGCGATGCGCCGTGCCCTGCGAGCGGAGAGCGCGTCGCTCCACTCCGCGGGGCTGGAGGCTCGGAACAGCTCGAGACCCTGACGATCGGTGGCTGGGACTGGAGACTGCCGCGGGCGGCCGGTCTGGAGGTTGGCCTGGGCTGCACGACGGATGGCCCCGCAGACTCCATCCGGCGCTTTGGCCGTCAGCTCCTTCTGGGTGGAGAATGTTGTACCCCCCGCATCCGCGCGACGGACGCGGGAAGCTGCTACTACAATTAGCTTTGATTCCGCGTGTTCCATTTCGGTGGGTGCAATTTCCGCCCTCACCGGGTGAGACGAGCGGTGTAGTGCTCATCGATGGTTCGCGTCCTTCCCTCTGCCCTCCCTCCCCCTCTCCGAAATAGTTGCGCTTCAAAAATAAAGCTTCTTCTGAGTGAAAGCATTTGGCTGCCAATTCGAATGTGGTGAAGTGATTTGACTATCAACTCTATCTTGACGGCCTCCTTCCGAGTTGACAAACCCCCATTGACAACCTCCTTCCGAGCTGACGAAACCTGTCGACGGCATCCTTCCGAGTGACCCCATTGGCGGCCCCCTTCCGAGTTGACGAGCCCTCTTGACGGCCTCCCTTGACGGCCTCCCTCTGGGGTGACGAGCCCCCTTGACGGCCTCCCTCCGAGTCGACGAACGCTTTTGACGCTCCCCTCCCTTGTCTCACGCTCCGTCTTGACGAACAAATTATCGGGGCCGAACTGGCGGTGAAAGACGACTTCGGTCTTGACGATTGCAGTGTCGGGGCCGAGTTGACGGCTCCTCTTGCATTGGCGAAAGAATTGTTGGAGCTGAATTGACGATTGCTTTCGTCTTAGCGAACGAAGTCTTGGGGCCAAATTCACGCTTCTGCCGTCTTTACGAATGAAGTCTCTGGGCCGATCTGACAACCGCCGTGGGCGCGCCTCCAGACATGCGCCGCGTCGGCAACTGGGACGCGGACAGCGCGTCGCGCCGGAGCGTGGTGGGCCAGAGCCGGCGGCGCGAGTCACTGAGCCAGAGCCCGCGACCATGTCGCCGTCGGCCCCAGACGTCCGGCGATACGCTGGGCTCGAGTCAGGCGGTGTTCCTCGATGCCGGCCGCCAGGGCCCGCTGTCGAGCCCCGGGGCCACCGGAGATGGACACCCTGGGGCCGCGGATGCGAGCAGGCACTTCGGAGGATGTCGGGGCCCATCCAACGGGGCACCCACAGGCGGGCAGGAGGCTGCGCACAAGGAGGAGCGGAGGGGGCGAGGAGGAGGCATATGATGGAAAGGCGCGGGCGGATGGGAGAGAGAATGAGGAGGAGGAGCAGGATGATGATGATGATGATGATGATGATGATGATGATGATGGTGATGATGATGATGATGATGATGATGCTGACGTAGCACCCCGCAATTGCGGATAAGAGTGAGGGGGCGGGCGCGGGCGACGCGGGGGTCGTCGAGCCGGCGGACCTCGTGGCCCCCACCTTCCTTGTCGATGGCGCTCTCCTCCTCCTCCTCCTCATTCTCCTCCTCTTCCTCCTCCTTCTCCTCCTCCTCTTCCTCGTCCTCATCGTCATCGTCATCCTCCTCCTCCACCTCGTCCTCCTCCTCCTCCTCCTCTTCCTCGTCCTCCCTCTCCCCCCCTCGTCTTTTCATCATGGTCCTCCCATTGTCGTCCTCCCCCTCATCGGCCTCCATCATCGTCCTCCCATTGTCGTCCATCATCATCATCCTCCCCATCCTCCCCCTCCTCGTCCTCCTCCTCCCCCTCCTCCCCCTCCTCCCCCTCGTCCTCCTGCTCCTCCTCCTTTTCTTTCTCCACGTTCTCCTTACATCCTCTCTTCTTCCACGTTCTCCTCGTCCCCTGTTTACTCATCCTGCCTCCCCCTCCTTTCCCAAGATAACTGCAACGCAATCCTTTTTTCCACTTTATGCTCCCCGCCTTCTCTGATCAAGGCAACTCGCCAGGGCAAAGTTGCTGGACGGGCTGGCGTGGATGTGCGGGGCGTGAAGAGGTCCTTGCGGGCTCAGACGGCATGCAAGAATCCGCCGCCGCGCTTGTGCGGCATTGGTTTGTTCAGTGAACGTGGTTTAGGTCGCGGGTGGGTCGCGGGCTCTCCACCTCCACCTGGAAGGAATGCAAAAGCAGCCCGCCGCAAGCGCCAAAAAAAATGGTTCGTACACGGAACGAGTTTTGGGTCGCGGGTGGGCCGCGGGTTCTCCACAGGGAACGAATGCAAAGGATGCCCGCCGCAGGCGCCGAAAATGTGGTTTGTACCCTGAACGTGGTCGCGGGTGGGCCGCGGGCTCTCCACCTGAAACGAATGCAAAATATGCCCGCCGCAGGCGCCGAAAAATGTGGTTTGTACCCTGAACGTGGTTTGGGTCGCGGGTTGGTCGCGAGTTGGTCACGGGATGTGTCGCGGGCTCTCCACTTGGAAGGAATGCAAAAAAACCCGCCGCAGGCGCCGAAAATTGTGGTTTGTACCTTGAACGTGGTTTGGGTCGAAGGTGGGTCGCGGGTGGGTCGCGGGGTAGGTCGCGGGTGGGTCGCGGGTGGGTCGCGGGTGGGTCGCGGGTGGGTCGCGGGTCGCGGGGTGGGCCGCGGGGGGGTCGCGGGGTGGGTCGCGGGTTGGGTCGCGGGGTGGGTCGCGGGGTGGGTCGCGGGGTGGGTCGCGGGGTGGGTCGCGGGTGGGTCGCGGGTGGGTCGCGGGTGGGTCGCGGGGTGGGTCGCGGGGTGGGTCGCGGGTGGGTCGCGGGGCGGGTTGCGGGTGGGACGACGACAACAATCATCAACAACAACAACAACAACAACACCAACACCACCAACAACAACAACAACAACAACTACAACAACAACAACAACAACCAACAACAACAACAAGAATCCGCACCGCGGAATTCCACATCAGCCACGCACCCAGGGACAGTGAATGACCGTTCGGCCCCCTCACTCTGATAATGATGATGATGATGATGAGAATGATAGTGAAGATGATGATGATGATGATGATGATGATGATGATGATAATGATAATGATGATGATAATGATGATGTTGATGATGATGATGATGGTGGTGATGGTGATGGTGATGGTGATGGTGATGGTGATGGTGGTGATGATGAGGATGGTGATGCTGATGATGATGGTGATGGTGATGGCGATGGTGATGACGATGCTGAGGATGATGGTGATGATGCTGATGCTGATGCTGATGCTGCTGCTGCTGCTGCTGCTGATGATGATGATGATGATGATGATGATGAAAGGGGGGAGGAGGAAGGACGAGGAGGAGGAGGAGGATAAGCAGGAGGAGACGGAGGAGACAGTGGGGGAGCAGAATACGTATGCATAGTATGGTGATGCCGATGAGGCTGCTGTTCTTGATGGTGGTGGTGAGGAGGAGGAGGATGAAGATCATGATGCTGATGATGAGGAAGACGACGACGATGAGACTGAGCTGCTGATGATGGTGATGCTGCTGCGTTCGATGCTGATGATGATGTGACTGGTGATGATGACGCTGATGAAGAGGATGGTGCCATGCCAATGCGGCTCTTGATTATAGCGACGACGATGGTGATGCTCGTGAGGCTGCTGCTGATGATGATCAAGGTCGTGATGATCGTGATGAGCACGAAAATTATTCTCCTCCTCCTCCTCCCTCTCCTCCTCCTCCTCCTCCTCCTCCTCCTCCTCCTCCTCCTCCTCCTCCTCCGTCCGCTTCCTGCCTCCTGCCTCCGTCCGCGCCACCCCGCCAACTCCCCATTTGTTTGTTTTAGAACTGGGGGGGGCGACGTCCCTGGGAGAGAGGGGAGGAGCGGTCGAGGGGATACGACGGGCGCCACGTTAGGGGAGAGGGAGGAGGAGGAGGAGGAGGAGGAGGAGGAGGAGGAGGAGGAGGAGGAGGAGGAGGAGGATAATGATGGGTGAGGAGGAGGAACGGCGGAAAGAAAGGATGATGGGGGAGGAGGAGGAGGAGTCGAGTCGGGCCGATCTCGTAGTGATCGAAGCGCAGCCTCGCGGACGCCGAGGAGTGCGGGATCGAGGAGCAGTGCCGCTTCGGCCGTAAGCGCGCGCGGGAGTGTGCGGGGTCGAACACGCGGGCACGACCCCCGAGTCTGCGATGACCGCGGGCAGACTCGAGCACATGTTGGGCGGGCGGTGCTGGGGGGTGACCTGCATGTGGGGGTGAAGAAAAAAGCCCTGCAAGGGGGATCCGGGGCCCCTTTCGGGCCCCAGCCAGCTCCACAAGGGCCCCTTCGTCCCCACGCCCCCCACGTAGGCCACAACCATCCCAACCCGCCCGAGCACGGCAGGCCAAGCGTGGCCCCTGTCGCCTCGCGAGGAGGCCAGCGCCTCGCCCCCGCCGCCCTCCGTCGCGCTGGCAGCCCCTGGCAGCCCTGCTGGAGGAAATACACACAAATAAAAGGAGTCCCTATATTTTCCAACATTTTCTGGGTTTTTGTCTTCCCCCCACTCTTCCCACATTTTTTTTCATATTTTCCTGGGGGTCGACGATGAATTGTGTCTGTGTGTTTTTTCCCCTCCTGATCCACCCCTCCTCCTGCCTTCCGCACGGCTTCACGAGGCGCGCCCCGTCGGCGCCCCGCGGCCGGCTGGGCCGCCTGGCGCGGCCGCTTCCTTCCGCGGGCGGCCCGCCACGGGGCGACCCTCCCCACGGCCGAGATCCTCACCATTCACTTGCCTCGCGCGCCCCATCCTGCCCCCTCGATGGGTCCGACGCTCCACCCTTGAGATATCCGAATCCTCGACGTTCCTTGCTGCCCTGGCCCTTCCGCGCTGCGCTGCTTCTGAGCGCGGGCACAACCCCTGGCTTCACGATAGACTTGCCGGCCAGAGAGATGTTCTGTGAGCCGCAGAGGATGGACTGGCGGCTGACCTGGCGGGCTGTCCGATCAGTGACGGTGTCCCACCAGTGACGGTTCAGGGCGGTGGCATGATGGCGACGACGATTAAGCAATAATGACGCTCCTCCTCATCCTCCTCCTGCCCTCCTCCCCCTCCTCTTCCTCCTCCTCCTCCTCCTTCTCCTCCTCCTCCGTCTCCTCCCCCTCCTCCTACTCGTCCTTCTCCTCGCCCCACGCATGATGCAATGCTAAGGACGATGCAGACGCAAGGACGACGACGACGACCACCATGAGGATAAGGGCAATGATGATGACGGTCGCTGACGGCTCGTCTCACATGTGGAAGGGAGGGCATGTTGCCCCGCGCCTCAAGCTCCCTGGGGCCCGGATTACCCAACCAAGATTTCAGGGCGCCCCCTACATCTCTTGTGCGTAAGCGCACCTTTGGGGACCAAGCGGCCGCTCTCGAGACGGCCACGTGCATGCATTCTATGAGACGTGAAAGACCTATGGTATGGCCCCCGAAAGCCAAGCCCCTCGGACGACGGGAGACGAGTGATCTGCACCCAGGGCACCTCCTTGGCGCTCCCCGGCAGCTGTCGCGCACGGCCAGAGGAGGGCCCTGCCACCAGAACCCCTCAGCTGCTCGCCCCAGGCGGACTAATCCGCCCGAGAGCACGCAGCCCATGGCCCCCCCCCTCCCTGGCACCATCCTGGCTCGCTGTCCCCCGAGCGCCCTCTCGCCGCGGCGACGACGAGGCGCCCCCCGAATGCCCGCAGGATGGCGACGAGGAGCGCACGCTGGCACCACTTCCCTGGGGACTTTGCCCACCCGGCAGCTCGGCGCTGGCAAACTTTGTATACCAGTGGCCACGCGGCACGACCGCACCCCGCTCCTCCCGCTCGCCGAGGCCGTCGGGCGCCCGTGTGGCCGCCGCCAGAAGCCCTGAATCAACTGTTCGCCAGCGTGGGCCTCGAGCGTGGAGCTCTTGCCTTCTGGATCTGCGAGCTACGTGGTGCAATCCACGAGGTGCAAGCTAGGTAACCAAGTAGCGCACTGTACGTGGGCTGCGCGGTGCGCGCTATGTGGTGGCAAGCTGTGTGGTGTGAGCTGTGTCGTCTAGGGTATGTGGTGCAAGCTGTGTGGTGCAATATCTGCGTGGTGCACGCTGTGCGGTGCGCGCTATGTGGTGCAAGCTACGTTGCGTGAGAAATGCAGTGCAAGGTGTGTGATGTGTAAGCTGTGCCGTGCGAGCAACGCCGGTGCAAGCTACTTGTGGTGTAAGCTGCGCGGTGCCAGCAATGTGGTGTATCCTATGTGGTGCCAGCTTTAGATTGGGCGTATCCTCCTACAGGCGGATTTTAGACGACAGATTGTGAATATCTTCTTCGGTGAAGCTCCCTGCGGGGCCACGAAGCGCTACACTGGGTGGAGGGGATGGGAATTCGCAAGAGCGCGCGCGCAAGCTGTTGCGAAACCTTGTGTTTTTTTTCATATCTTTTGAACACTCGATTTTGAATCCCTCCGGAACCGTAATTTTATTTGACGGATTTCGGGATGCGCGCGCGACGACGCGCGCGTGCGCACTTCGCCCCATTTGTTGCAAGGGCTTCTTCAAACAAAAACACGAAACGCTGTACTGGTTATGCGGGGCGCATACGGACGGTAGCATTGGGAGCTTCTGGGGGGGCTCCCTATGGGGCAACGGAACGCGTGGGTGTGCTGAGCCGGGTGATGATGATGACGAGGATGATGATGTTGATGATGATGATGGTAATTGTAATGGAGGAGGGAGGAGGGGGAGGAGGAAAAGGAGAAGACCGCGGGGACCGTCTCTTCGAAACGAGGACCCAACACCACAGGATGGTTGGGAAAACTATCCAAACAACAAATTCTCAAATACGAGACAACTCTTCCCCAAACTATTTGTTGATTATTTTTGCACATCTTTCCTGCGGAGGGACACGCCCGACTTCATGCCAGCTGCACGAACAGAACAACTATGTGGCGCAATCCGGTAGAGGGAAACAATTAGCACCCCCCCCCCCGGCCCTCCAAACTGAAAGTTGGCACGCGCGGGGGAGACTGCGGTCGAGGTGCAACTCAGCAGACCCGCCGCCAACTTTGAACATTGGGGGGGGGGGGGGGGAAGCGTCGACAGATGAATGTGGCATGAGTGTTCGCTATGCTTTTCTTTGAGGCCCGTCTGTGCGGCCGCCCATCGCGCGCGAGGCGCTCGCGAGGAGCCCGCGGGGCGGCCGCGGGCGGGCACCGCGGCGCAGCCTCGCCACGCCCACATTTTTTTTGCTTGCGAGCGACGCGGGCGGCCGCGCGCCGTCAAACAGGGCGTAGAAGCGCAGGCCAGGCACAGGCAGCACGCGGAAAAAGGGCCACAACGGTGGCGAGAACTACGCAACGAAAGCGAAACGAACGAGAGTCACACGAAAAGAGAGCGGGACGAACAGAAGGACAAGAAACGGCAGAAGTAGGACAAAAGAAGCGAAAGAGAAGGAGAAGACAGGAAAGAAAGGAAGCAAGCCGCAGCTCAAGCTCAGGCTGAGTAGTAGACGAGCGCCCCTTGTCGAACAACCAGAACGTGTAGTAAAGAGCGGCGTGCCCAACCCGATGCCCACGGCTGAGATGTCGCAGGGTGGCCACCGGCACGAGAACAGCGAAAGCGTGGAACACGCAGAGATCCATCAGCCAGGCCGTCTCCAGGGCCGTGTAGTCTAGCCGCAGGGTCGCCGCCATCCGCGAGCCACGGGGGGAGCCAGGGAGCGAGCCCGATCAAGAGCAGCGTGCGGCACGTCTCGAAGGCACTGCAGGCGTGGGGCGCACACCGGTGGCGACGAGGAGCGACCAGGCCAGCCGGGCAGGGTGACCAGCCCTGGCCCGCTGGGCAAGCAGCCTCAGGGCGGGCGGGTGCACCGCTTGGGACCTGCTTCTCACTGGGGGGGAGTGCGGCTGACAGCCGCGGGAAGTGGGAAACGGCACGCCAGTGTAGCGCATGAAAAAGCCCGGTGTTGTGGTAGGGTGCAGCAAACAGCCGCGGGAATGAGGGAGAAGATGTTCTCGCCTGCTGGTGACCAGCCTGGAGCGGCAAACGGGGGGGTAGCCGTAGGCCGTCCAATGCCAAGAGCAGGGGGAGAAATACGCGATAGCACTGCGTGAGAATGCCCAGTGCTCTGGTAGGGTGCAGCTAACAGTCGCAGAAAGATGGGAAAAGAGCTAACGCCTGAGACATGCTGGAGGTCGGAATGGGAGCGGCAACCTGGGGGGTAGCCGTTTGTCGTCCACGATCAAGGGCGGGGTGAAGCGGCAGCAAGCAGCTGCAGGGTGCAGGGTAAGGGTAGCAGCTTCGCCAGGATGGTGTAGACGCTCTGTTGGGTTGCAGCAGATCGCCGCCAGTAAAGGGGGAGATAGTCCACCTGAAGCAGCCCGCGAAGCGCACGAAAGGCGCCCACGAGGCAGCCATGGGCGGGCAGACCAGTCGACGCCTCGCGCAGGGGGGGTGCGGCATGGAGCGACGCGTCGTCGCGGCGTGCCCCCGAATTCAAACCTACCAGACAAATCGCCCACATACTTGTTGTTTACTATTTCCCCACATCCAAAGTGGGGTTCTTGTTTTCTCTGGACACCCCGCGCAGGAACAGGAACCCACCACCATCATCATCATCATCATCACTCATTCCTCACTCACTCACTCACTCATCATCCCTCACACACACACACACTCACTCACTCACTCACTCACTCACTCATCAGCACTCACGCACGCACGCGCTCATGAACTCACAGATGATGATGATGATGATGATGATGATGAGTGTGCGCGTGAGGGACTGTGATGATGATGATCATCATCACCAGTCGGTCAGTCAGTCAGTCACTCACTCACTCACTCACTCGCCTTGGGCCTCGTCTGTGAGTGAATTGCGAGGAAGTCTCAAGCGGGAGCCCCCTCCCTGTCGGGCCCGCGGATCATGTTACTAATCCGAGCGGGTCATCCAATTCCTCTAACTGTCGCCACTTTTGGGCTCTCGCGCTGCCAGAACGCCACTCCCAGGCCACATTTGTGAGTGAATTGCGAGGAAGTCTCAAGCGGGAGCCCCCTCCCTATGGGGCCCGCGGATCATGTTACCAATCCGAGCGGGTCATCCAATTCCTTTAACTGTCGCCACTTTTGGGCTCTCGCGCTGCCACAACGCCATTCCCAGGCCACATTTTGAATGCCCGGAGCCAAGTGTAGGCAACTTTGTGATCTTCGTGCTCCCAGAACACCACCCCCGGGCCACAATTTGAATGCCCGGAGCCAACTGTAGGCCACTTCGTGTTCTTCGTTCTTCGGGCCACATTTTGAATGCCTGGGCCACTTTCTGAATGTCGGGAGCCAAAACAGGAGGGCGAGGTCGGGGGCAACGTAGGGAGCGGGGGGAGGGCCCGCGCCAGGGCGAGAAGAAATATACGCAGAAGAGACAGCCAGGACGCCTCACCAACCACGAGGACGACGGTGAGGGCGTTTTCCAGATTCGCCCAAAGGATTCTCATGTGGGGTCCTTCCGTCGGAGTAATTTTTGATATTTTCCTGTGGAGGGACACGCCCGACTTAATGCCAGCTGTACGAAAAAAACTACGTGGCGCAATCTGTGCGGCCGCCCATCGAGCACGAGGCGCTCCCGAGGAGCCCGCGGGCGGCATGCCCCCGAACAACAGTTAGGAGGCAACTACTGGGAGGCTTTCGTCGGAAAGATGAAGGAGGATGAAGCCCCATTTGGGAGCTGTTGCGCCGGAGCGGGCCTCGGATCGAGCGGGATGAAGCCGGCTTAGGCGGGATTAAGCCGGATTAAGCGAGATTAAACGAGATCGAGCCAGATTAAGCCGGACTTCGGACCAGGGCAACGTCAGAATTTAACCTCCCAGGGGTTGCATCCGAACTGAAGGTTAGGAACGGAGAGGGGGCGGGGGCGGATCAAGGAGGAGAGGGAGGAGGAGAACATGAAAGGCTGACGAGGAGGAGCGCGAGGAGGAGGAGGAGTGGCGGAGGGCAGGAGGAGGGAGGGGGTGCAGGAGAAAGAGCAGGTGTGGGAAGGATTGCGCAGGAGGGGGAGAAGCAGGAGGAGAATAAGCAGGGTTTGGAAGAGAGGGAGATGTAGCCAGCAGGAAAGCACCACTGCCGCAAGAGAGGTCGGAGAAGGTGAAGACGCAGCCGACAGCAATGGAGTTTGCCTCCATCATGATTCGAGACCCACTGCCCCCCCATACACACAACCACACGCATATACCCTCGCTGACTTCTGCCTCCTCATGTTACCTCATTCTCTCCTCTTTCACTTTCCTCCCTCCGTCCCTTCTCCATCTTCCATCCCTGCCTCTCTCCTGCAGCCTTCCGCCATCCTTCTCCTTGACTGGAAGCCCAAGGGCCTTGTTGCCAGAAGCGGTCTGAATGTAGTCGGCCTTGTTGTAGTAGACAGGCGGTCCCTTAGTGGCCCCATTTTTGACCCTAGCCTGACATAGAGCGCCTCGGATGGTGCATGTCGTCGTCATTGTCGTCACCATCGCCTTATCGTCGTCGTCGTCGTCGTCGTCGTCGTCGTCGTCGTCGTCGGTGACCTCACCATCTCTTCTCCTCCTTTTGATATGGCCAGCCGCTGCAGCTTGAATAGCATATAGTTCGTGGAGCGCCGAGGCGCATGAGTGTGCCATGCGGGGGCCCAGTGCCATCACCTGGCGCCGCATGAGTCGCAGGCGTTGGAAAGGACTGCTCGTTGAACCCGAGCCGCTGTGTGTGCAGGCGTTGTCGCCGCAGCGGGCCCATCTCCCTGCTTGCCGGCGCTCCCTTCGGCGCCTGGCGAGAGATGCGAAGTCCAGGCGCTCTGCCTCGGGGACCCCGTGGGGGGGGGTCCACTCGCACGCGCGGGCCAAATCCATCGGCACCTGCTGTGACTTCGGGAGGTTTTGTCTTCCGGCCCCTCAGAGGTGTGCGCCCAGCTAGGCCCTGGAGGAGGAGGAGGAGGAGGAGGAGGAGGAGGAGGATGAGGAGAAGGAGGGGAAAAGGAGGAGGAGGAGGAGGAAAAGGAGGAGGAGGAGGAGGAGAAGGAAAGAAAGATGTGGAGGAGGAGCGGAGGTGGAATGAGGAGGGGAAGGAGGAGAAGGAGGAGAAGGAGGAGGAGGAGGACACTGGCCTCGACGACAAGAACTGCATCGAGTGGGCATCGGCTCCACGGGGGCCCTCCCCGAAGTGACCGACGTCCCGATCTTCATCGAGCCGCTCTGTCGAGGACTCGGCGGGACGAATGCCTGCACTTTCCACAGGCCGCCATGTCGTCGGAAGCCCCCTCGGATCTCCAGGCTCTTGCGGCTCACAACTCACCTTAACATGCGGGAAACGAGTCCTGAGGGAAACGGGTCCTGGACCCTGGAGCATGCCCCCAGCTCGTCATCATGAGTCGATTTCTGACGGTCCTGAGGCACTTAGAGGGCCCCGAGAGCTCGAAAACGGCCAACAACCTCAGGAGCCGTTTCCCTCAGGACCCAGTTCCCCCATGGCGATCACCCCTCTGGATGTGAGGCGGGTCTTGGCCATCCCTTCCCTCTCGCGTCTTTCCTTCAGGCGCGGCCTTGCCGACCCCCAGCAAACCATCCCCAGCTGTGACGTCACGCCTTTCGAGCTCCCCTCCGCCCGCATACATACGTCTTAGGGCGAGGCGAGGGGGACGTCGCGGAAGGGTATGGTTTGCTAGGGGTCGGCTAGTCCACCGCAACTGTGCGAGCCATGGCCGCCGCCGGCCTTTCCAGGCTGAACACGCGCGCGCGCCTCCACGTGAGAGGGCCGGGAAGCTCGAACCTCCCTCCTCCGTCCAACAAACACAGTCTGACTGCCTGAAAGTAACTCACTTCTTACGTCGGCGGCTAGGCAGAAGGACTGCGCTGGCGGATGGGGCGTCGGTGGATAAACGAGCGCGGATGAAGCCGCGATGCGCGAGGGGGAGGAGGAGGCCGCCCGGCGGTGGCGGGAGGGAGACGGAGGCCGGGCCCGCTCAGAGCATGGCCGAAAACAAGTCGCATACACATAGATGTATGTGTATATAGATATACATACATAAA